CTGGGGATAGGAAAGAGCTGTTCCCCACCTCCTGGCTGCTGTCCCTGTCTCCACTGCCTGAGCCAGTGTGCCAGTCACACAGGTATAAGCTTTTGTCCCAGAGCAGCCAGATATGGATCCCTGCTTTCCACAAGCAGCCGGAATCCGTCTCCCCAGGAACTCTGCCTGTATTAACTTTCCAACCTGGTAGTCATGCGAGTCTCATGAAAGCACCATGAAATGTAGGTTTGTGCTTCCAGAGCAGATCTCAGGAGCTAGGTATTCAGCAGTCCCAGGCTTTCCACTCCCTCCCTGCTCCGTTTCTCTTCCTACTGCAAGTGAACTGGGGTTGGGGAGGGGCTCGGGTCTGCGGAGCCACAGCTCCTACCGGGTTGGCTGAGGTCTGCTCTTTTCTCCAGGTGTGTGCAGTCTCACGCGTCCTCTTTCCTGCTGCCCTCTCAGGATTAGTCACGCCAATTAAAATTTCTAATTGTATCCAGTTTTAGAAGGAAGCCTCTGTCTCTCCTCTCACGCCGCCATCTTTAATCCCATCATCCTTTGTTTTGTTTTTAAAGTTTTCTCCCCTTATTTTGTTTTCCAAGGAGGTTGAAGGTAGGGTGAACATACTTACTCTTAATGCTTAATTAACTCTCCTCTTTTAAGCTAATTGTTGATATATTCTGTAATTTCTGTGCTATTCATTTTTATCAAAATATGCTTATAAAATCAGTATTTGCCCAAGATTGGATGGATTTCCACTGAACAGCCAATGATGAAAATTAAGCCTCAATTCTTCACTATTTGGGCATGAAGATTTAGGCATGTGGATGGGTGTCTTCTCTAGATCTGATGCTGAATTTCAGATTAAAATGATTAATTAGGTTATTCTGGTGGGTTCTTAGGAGAAGGAAGCAGTTCAAAGAGCCATGGTTTTCCAGAGTCCTTGCATGGACTCTCAGGATAACAGATATGATATGCAAAACAGAGTGGGAGTAGCTCAAAGAAAACAGTTTAAAAGAGCCTGTTTTCTGAAAATCACCTCTGAAAATCTAATGCAATGTAACTCATAAAAAGTATCTATAGATTCTGCCTTTTAAAAAAGGAGATTTTAATCACAAAGCAAAATTATGATATAACTATATTGGGAGTATGAAGGAAGGAAAAGAGCACACAAATGTGTGTCCATGTCTCCTTGGAATTAGCAGAGAGCCAAAAGACGTCTAAACTGGAGATTTAACATTCTTTATTGACACTGATGAAAAGGACACAGGAAATACTAAAAGAGCTAAGGACTGGATAAGTGAGGAGGATCAGGGGTGTCAGGGACTGCTCTTTTTTAATGTTAAGTAGATCTGAAGTATGTGGTACACTTGATAAAAATAAAACTTCAAAATTAAAAATATTAAAAAAATCTAAAAGATGCTATTAGCACTCATGCTATCTTTAGCTATATAGCATAATGTAAGTAAAGAAAATCCTTAATGAAAATTTGAAAAGCTACAACTAATGTTTTTCTGAATATGCAGGTAAAAAGCTGCATGAAAGCATAAAATGCTAATTTTGATTGCATCATTTCCCCTTGTTATTAAACTGATATGATTTAATACCAAATTCAAAGTATATTTTATATGTCATCCCTCTAAACTAAATATTTAGGTGAAAAATTCTCACTAGTAATCTGCAAAAGGGTACATTCACACCACTTGGGAAGTTCACACTACTGTTCAATAAATTATCATATGTGTCCTACCTTGCAGCTGAGGAACCTTTCAACCAAGATAGCAACTATTCTATCACCTTGAATTTATTTAACACTTACCTGCAAGTGAGCTCATAACATTTAAAAATTGGCAGTTACTTTCATCAACAACAAATGCTTTGCTAATTGAATTCAAACTAGTATATAAGCCCTATTTTAAATAACAGATAAATCAGTTTCAAGGAAGTTAAATGATTTGAATTAAAATCAGAGTTTAGGCCACTGTTTACTAGCAATCACGAAGAATCTTCAAATTCAAATGTACTGCTCAATTACTACATTTTATTCAATGGCGTCACAGGCTACCATGCCCTTTAGCTGTCCTTTCTTTATCATATGATGAAATCATGTCAGTATCTCATCTTACAGTTTAAATAAACGTATTTCATATCCTCACATGAAAGGCTTTTTATTTAGTGAATAAACAAATAACTGGGAGTGGATGTGCACGGACAATGCAAGTGTCTGAATGTCTCTAATAGGTGAAAAACATTGCTAAAAATTATTTTTATACCTTTTAGTTCTGTTTGGAGATTTTTTAATATCTATAGAGCAAATTAATCTACCTTACATATTAGGATTGGCTAGGTAATCATATGGTTGCATTACTTAATGGACATATTACTGATAACTAGACTTAGAAAAGCTAGATTTAAAGTTCACTAATCATATAAACATCAGAGGTTATCATCACTTTTAAAACAGATATTTGTAAGTAATTATAAATGTGGACTCAATAAGAGTTGAGCCAGTTTCCAAGGGAAGTGGTAAAAAAAAAAAAAAAAAAAAAAAAAAAAAAAAAAAAAAGGAAAAAATTAAGAGCTGAATAGATGATGATTTAAGGAACTAAAATGCAAGTCTTTACCTTGAAACCTAGCTTGACTAAATCATGTCGTTTTAAGGCAGCATGCGTGCAGGTCATAGCAATGATTTTGGCTTCTTTCACCAAAAGGTATTTGGAAAAAAAAAAGGAAAAAATTAAGAGCTGAATAGATGATGATTTAAGGAACTAAAATGCAAGTCTTTACCTTGAAACCTAGCTTGACTAAATCATGTCGTTTTAAGGCAGCATGCGTGCAGGTCATAGCAATGATTTTGGCTTCTTTCACCAAAAGGTATTTGGATCTGTCCAGTCCACTGCGAAGCAGTTCTGAGGCTCTGAATTCCTATGGGAGTGGGGGAGTAGTGAGAGACTATTCCAGGATAATAAACATAGTTTATGCATACATTCAGACAACCCAGTCTATCAGACTTAGTATCTGAGAAATTAATATAAATGTATCACAAACTAAGCCTAATGGATCATAATTCTGTTCATTATTAATTAGATACTAATTGAATTCAAATAATAGCTGATATTCAGATTATTATTTGGGCTATTTTTGGATAAAGTAAAATATTTACAATATCAGCAAAAATACTAAATAAACTATCAATCACCACTATACCTCTATTATTCAAGGTCCCTCCAGGGAAACAAAGCATTTCCAGTAATCATAACAAAAGGAATTTAATAGAAGGGTCTGGGTACACAGGTGACAAAGGAGCAGAAAAGCTAACCACGGAATGGTGAAATAGTCCAGAATTAGCAACAGGAGGAAGTGATGACCATCCTTGGCTACAAGAATAAGAGAGAAGGCAATGTTACCACATCCCCAGAACTGGAGTACCAGAATAAGCTGGAACCAGAACCACAGTGGGTCTGGCCAGGACGAACTGAAGCCGCAGAAGAGATAAAACCCAAGGCAGAAGGAGATGTTGGGAGGATATCCTAGCTTCTCTCTTCTAGTTCTGCCACATTTCTCATTGGCTAGACCCAGCCAAAAGTCAGCTGACATGGAGGCTGGGCAATTAAACCTTCAATGATCAGCCCCATCCCATCCCTGGCAGAAGATCCCCATAGAGCAGAGTAGGAGAATAGACAATAGATGGATATAGGGAGAAAACAAGCCCACACAGAGTAGCTAACATCAACTTTTATCAAATCTGAACATTATGTCATACTTACTTCAGATATTTTTATCATTTTTGTTTTGTTTTTTAAATAATTAAAACATTATAGTTAGAGGTGAGTTACCCTTGTATATCCCTCTCTCTACCCCCTCCCCAGACAGCTACTATTACAAAGTATGTTTTTATCCTCTTACTTTTTGTTTATGGAATCATAAACATACTATGTTGTTTTGCAGGTTTAAAAATTTTATTATCATACTATATATTTATTATTCTGTACCAACATATTCTGTATCAACCACCCGCCCAGCCATACCATGCATCCGTATTTAATGAACATCTACTATGTGCCAGATACTGTTCTAGGAAGTCAAGATATACTCCTATCCAACAGGTAGAGACAAAAGAGACCAGGTTGCTTTCCTTTCCCCTGGACTGACCTAATCTTATCACTGACGAATCTGAGACCGAATGCGGTCTCCTTACAGAGTTGTTGGGGTCTTCTAATGGTGTTCTTCATAGGAAATGAGAAAACTAGAAGCATTCCAGGAGGTCTCTGGGTTTCAGACTTAACTTTCTCTGTCCCTTTTGTATACTGGTGATTCTTATTTTACCTTAATAATGAAGATCAATCATCCTAACTAACATAAAAACCTCATTCTCTGTCTACTGGTCATGAGGCATGAAGAGCTCAGAATGGCCATGTGGCAGTTTCGAATTCCAATTCAAAGAACTATGGTCGAATCTCCTGATGGAAGCATTTCTTTCTTAAATTCAAAGACTTTTACACCTTCTAGCCATAATAATGGGGATTCAGGTCATAACTTAATTTTCACTAATTTCTTAAACTAAAACAATAAATGTTTTGAATAATCTCACTTAAAAGTAACAATCTGGCTTGTAATATTTGAAATTCTACATTTACTCTTAGAAAACACAAACAATTCAACTTAAAACCTTTAAAGGAAAGTTAAAAGAAGTTGAGACTCTACCTCAAGCTGAGTGAAGATTTTCTTAATATGCCTGAAACATCCCTCAGCAATTTCCATGTCTTCTTCATAAGATCGACCTTTAAAAATGGGTCGAGGGGCATTTGCGAAGTATTCGTGAAATGGGAAGAGAGTGGAGATCTCCACAACACCCGGCGATGCATCACTCTTACTTCTCACTCTGCTGATGTACTCCTCCCAACGAGACATCACCTACAGGAAAATGGGACTTGCTGTGAAAATGTCCAGCTGGTTATTATATAATATTATATAATAGTTTTATATTATAAATAAAAAGGAAACTAGTAAGAATATGATCTGCTAGGTAAAGAGAAAGAGAAAGAAAAGCAATCTTTGACCCAAAGGACTATTTCTTACCTTAGTTACTGATAGATTGCCCTTCTTCTATAAAAGTAACCTTTAAGATTGTAGAAGAAAGATCACTTAATTAAAAAATTTGTACAAACTTTCAAAAGGTCATCTCATGGAACTTTACCTCAGGCACTTCAGATTCTCCATTTACATTACACCCAAGACAGCATTATCTATGCTTAAACAAAACAAAAAAAACTCTAGACAAAGAAATTCTTTATATGTTCATTATCTCAGTTTTTCTCCAAATGTGTTAAGTCCTGCTTTCGCACTTTTTAAATCAGTTTGGCACTTGTCAACCCTTCTCCCCAGAGCTTTATAATTTTTCCAATTCTCTTTAGTATATTTATAAAGAATTTCTGGTTAAGCTGAATATATATTTGGAAGCTCATTTTATGACCTTTGTGAATAGTTCAATTATATCCTGGTACAATGTTAACTATGCCCCTACCACATAGTTCCTACTTAGTCTCAATTTTTATAATTCTCCCAGGACTTTTGTTACAACTTTAGGGTTTCTCCAAGTGTGGCCCTTAGGCAGAATATACAAGAAGCTGAAAAAAGATGTAGATTCCTGGATGCTACCCCCTATTGAAAGAATCTCTGGAGATAAAACTTGAGAATTTCCTTTTTAAACAAGTTTCCCAAAGTGATTCCCTTATGCTGAAAATTGTTATTTACACTGTGAAGCCTCAAGTTCACTTTTCCCAAATTTATTAGTTAAGCCCTGACAACTTATAGGTTACTTCTACTTTTAAAAGTGCTTTTCACTGAGAGCCTAGTGATATTTATTTTGTGCCAAATGTGCATGTAAGCATGATCTTTACTGTTATCCAAAGTTCCAAACAGTCTGAGTCTAGTGCAGATAACTCTGCAAGATAATGCTTATCTTCTGTATTTTACAAGAAACCATGAAATATGCTCATTTTGAATAGATTCAAATGGTTTGTGTACCCACTTACAAAGCGCATAAACTCTTTCTTTCACATACACTTTGAAATTTTAATATTATGATTTATACCTAAAATATACAAATAGCATTAGTACAAAGAGAACAAATAAAGTTATGTAAAAACCTTTACTATAATGATTTAATCCATTTAAAATTATTAGTAAACCAACTGACTATTAGTTTATTTTTATTTATTTTATTTGGCTTTCTATGTCTTAACTGATTTTCATGCCCCTCAAATTAACAAAAGTAAAAGCATACCTCTAAACTGAAGTCAAAAGAGTTCTTAATTCTAAAACATTCTTTAGTTAGTTCTAAAACAATTTATTTCTGGAAACGTAAAAGGAGAATCTGTTTTTCTTCATTAGTTGATTAATATGCATAATAAAAGTAAGTTACAGAACTGTATTTTGTTACCATTGGGTAGCTAGAGTATTTAGTTATATTTCTACAGTAAAGAGTAAAAAAAGACAGACAGACTAGAGAACTTTATCAATGCAATAAAGTTAAAAGAAGAAAGAATTTAAGAAGTAGCAAAACTGGCCTTTCAGTGAATGAGTCACCAAGCAAAATTATTTGGCAAAGAAAATAGAAGGTAATAGGAAACAGCCATTTAACATTCAGAGATAGCTTTGATACAGCATGTATTTTAATCTACTCAACAAAAAATAAGCTTTCAAGGAGGACCTCAAGAGGCCCTCCCAGTTTTCAAGTGAAGACTACTACAATGAACTATGGTTTAAGAACTCTTAATCACTTACCTGATATAAGAAGAAATAGCCTGCTGTTTCACAAGTATAGGAGGCATCTCCTGGAACTCCTAGACTCTTCTGCAATCGTTTGACTTCTTCTAAAAGTTCTATTCTTCGAGCAAGGACATAATTAACTCTTCCATACCTAGAAATTGCAAATAAGCAAAATGAAGTAATGAAGAGATTTTTCAAGGGAACTGTCAGCAAAATATTTATGTAAATCATAATAAGAACTACAGATGGCCAAATAGGACCAAAAAAAAAAAAAACAGTATACAACATTATTATATTTAAGTGGTAGTTCTTAGGTTATGTTATACCAATGCACCCTATATACACAAAGTATGCCCTATGGAACAGTGCTGATGTACACATGTGTTAAGAGCGTCTGTGAGGAAGGAAAGTCAACTACATCACTAAAGACATCATTTAGTTCAACTATCTTTTTTTTTTCCATAACAAGAACTTCACAAAGAAGGAAACAATACAGTGTATTCTGATGTTAGTTCATCTCATCACAGACCTAGAATATACAATGTACAGAGGCTGCTTTGAATAGCAGTGTTTTACATTATCATAAAAGTAGACTAGTTCAAAAGGCTTTGAAATGTAACTTTAAAATGTATTTGATCATAGTTTGTTATCCCAGCATACAGAATGGCACAGCCTAAAGATAAGTAGTTACGAAAAAGTAGTTGAAACAGAATTGGACCCCAAAGCCATACATACTCTTCCCACAATAACAAAGTGCCTCCCACAACTCTTTAACAGTGAAAAAAAGACCTCATGTTTAAAGATTCAACAAAGGAAGAAGTCATGTTCCTCACTACTCTAGATCAGAGATTCACCTCTGAGACAGCAGAATGTTCAAGAATAAAATAGAGGTAGAAGACATGGTCTATGTTTTTAAGAATTTTCCAAGGATATAAACATTACAGCAGGTAACGTTTATCTGTTTGCTTATCAGGAGTTTAAAACTTTTTCACAATGAACACTTTAGAAATGAAAAAAAAAAATTGGGGATGCTTTTAAAGAGTCTGTAATAAATGTCAAAATTCTTGTGACATGTTAAAAAGCAATATATGATGGAATTCTACATTCTATTTGCTCACTCTGTAAATCTGAAACTATACAGAAAAATAGTCTGTTAATTTTAAAAAGCAATGTACACAATTATACATAACAGCAGATTATAGCTCGTTATTAAAAAGATTAACAAAAATTTGTTTTGTGGTAGAGAAATTATGGATGATCACTTCCTCTTATCTCACTAGGTTTAAAATTTTTTTCTTTAGGGAAAACAGTATTTTATTGTGAAACAATATTCACTATTTTTCTTTAATTATGACAAAGGAAAATAAATAAAAGAATATGCCAAACTGAGGAAGCAACACATACTAACAAGACCTGGGGCTTGGCTTGGGTATCTGAAAGCAAAAAGTATGCTTTTCCTAGAAACTTGGTAGTGCCTGAAATCATTTTTAAAATTCTACTTCTGTTCTTTTACAGTGTTCTTTACAAGCTACAAAATCAACTGTAATAAAACTACAATTGCAGTTATTTTACATTCCATTAACACCTTTACATTCACTGAATTCTGTATTAGTAGGTTATAGAGTCCAATCCACTTTTTAAAGCTAGGTTTAATAAGAGGAATTCAGAGAAGTATCACTAACTAATCAAAATTAAGAAACAAGAGCCCCAAATAACTTGATGTGTGTTCTTTGTCCTCCAACCTTTTAGAAGCTAGCAACTATTGGTGATCTCTATTATACAAGAACTCAAAATAGATGCAACATAATTTAATTAACATTCTCAGCTCTTTTAATGTCTATGATCAATTTAGTCAAAGGTCATATTCAATAAATAGCCAAAGGCTGTACTGTATTTGTGCAGCTGCTAATTATGCCTATTATTTGAAATTATGCTTTGAAAATGGATATAAATATAAATGACATGAGCTATTACAAAGCACTCTGAAGGAATCTGATTTATAATATTTCAGTTACTTTTCATTATATAATATTAAACATACAGCCCTCTGATTTATAATATTTCAGTTACTTTTCATTATATAATATTAAACATACAGCCCAGCTAAACTGGCAGTAAGTACCTGCAGTAATATTTACCATCCCAAAGCTTACACTATCATTAATCTTCAACTGCATTTCATTAATTGGTACCAAAAATGTATGCACATTAAATGTCTGAATGAACTGGGGACAACATTAAGAACTATCTTAATAAACAGAGAGCAAATGGCAAGCTGCAATTTTAAAAAGATAAATAAGGTGACTCTCTTCATTGAAATAACTGTATGCTTGAGAAAAAAATGGAATGAACACAGAGAACTGGAGCTGAGGGAGATGAACCCCAGACTTGCAGGTCAACTTGTAAGTAGGTTATGCTAGAACCTTTCAGAATTTGGATGGATTATCCATTGCTTTTTTTCCTCCTGGAGCTTCTTTAATAAAGAAAAGAGGAAAATGTTAAAAATTATTTTGTACACCATTTCAAAACCCACCCCAATCTGCTCACCTGCTAAAATCTTTCTCTGTCTCCAGCTCTTCTTCTCCATGACCAAGACGTAGGAGGTGGCGCTCGTCAATGTCTAAAGCCATGATTTTCTCAAACAATTGGTTCAAGGCCTGGAGAATAAAACAAAAAGGATGATGGCAAGTTCCAATGAAATCAGCAGGTTCCTTTAAAAGTAACAAAAACTAACATTTAGGAGGGTAGAAAAGAATGAGCATTGCTGGGTCAGGTAAGAATCAAAATCCACACAGAAGGGAATAGGTCTTACATTAGGTCATTTACAACTTAAACAAAATAGTATTTTATTGATTTCTGATATTGCTGACTATGTATACTTGCCCAAATGAGTAACTGGAAAACATAAAACTACTCCTTAAATCTCTGCTTCTAATTTGTGAACAAAGAAAGGCTTTGGCTCAGTTTTTATTTCCCCCAAGTACAAACAATTACTAAAATAATTAATAATCACACCAAGTTTCATTTCACTCAACAAAATTTCCATAGGTCGCAGATAACTGAAAAGTTTCTGTGGTGGGGGGAGGACTCTCAGACAGTGAGTGTGTAGGTAGAATACCATAGGAACAGAGAGTAGAAAGGTAAAGTGCATCATTCAAACCTTAGATAGCAAGTCTTAAGTTCTTTATACAATACTGAGTAGAGCGCTCATTAAATGGCAAACTATTCTGCTCAAAGAAAGCCATCTAGAAGTCACTCCTTTATACCATGAAATGTTCATCTTTAAGGTTCCCTCAAATCCTAGTATTTATTGTCTGAACACCTGCAGTTAGTAGGTTTTGGAGAAGAGCAAAGGTTTCATAGTATGGGAAGATACAATAATAAAGATATCATTTAAAAATTAGCCCCCACTCAAATATCTCTCCTAATTTACCATCAGTCTAACTATGCCCATCAAGTCAACTTCCAGTCTCATAAACCTCTAGATTACATAATGTAAACACAGATATCCTTGGCTATTAAAAAACCAACCAATTGGAGCTCAGTAGCTGATGAGATTAACTTAAATTTTCAGAAAAAATTCCCTACTATCCAAACTTCATATTCTCCATCCAAAAGATCAGCCCACCATTACTCATTATCCAAACCTTTGCTGTGCAAACTAAGGAAGCACAGAGATTTAGAGGGAAAAGAGTACTCCGACACTGCACTCTCAGAAAAACACTGCAAGATTCCACCATGAATTACAGTGTTAGAGAACTGTTTGAATCACATACGCAAATGAAGATCTGACAAAAAAAAACAGTTGTGAAAAATCAACAAATCAACAATCTGATAGACATAAAGGATGATGATATGATTAACAAACGTTCAAGAAGGGTCTTGGCAGAAGTCTTTGGCTACTTTTGCAAAACAACTTCTCTGTACCTGAGCCTACAAGTCAATCATAGGTGGAGGATACTATAGAAAGTCATCATCAAATTATGACAAAATTTAACTAAAAAAATACTACGTTAAAGTAACATATGAATCACTCTTTATTCATTATAAGAATCTGCAAATGGGTAAAATTATTAAATTTGATTAAAAAGGAGTCTTTATTTCTTTTATTAAGATAAAGTTCCAAATCAACCCTCTCCCCTGCATTGTTTAAGTATACTGTACAACGTGCCACCATTACTTACGTTTCAAAGATATAAAAATGACAAGTAGATGAACTAGATAGTATTAATTTCTAAAACCTGCAGACTAAAATTTGATGAACAACAGAATAACTAACATTTAGCATTCTAAAAGCCCAGTGCTGCTTTGTAGACCAACTCTTTTCAAGAACTGGCCAACTAAGTCACCATTGTCAATATGTATTTAGAGAAAATAAGTACCTTAGGAGGTTTCATAATGTATTTCAGGATTATGAGCACTGCCTGTCACATTTTACATAAGGTTCTAGTAAATGTTACTTGTTCTTCCTCATTTCTATGACAGTGACAGCTTCAGAGTAAATAAAACAGCACACATATAGATATAAAGACATTGTTTTAGACATTATTTACAAGAAAGGAGTTTGTATTTATTTAAGTGTTTATAAACTTCTTATATATTGGATACAACCTAAATATACAACCTAAAATAAGTCCTTCCATGTAATAGAGATATTCATATGTATACTTCACAAGGATATAAAATTTAATCCAATAGGAACACATTTTAGACAGTCTATTAGGAATATTCATTCTACTAAATTACGAAAAATGCTACTAGTAAGAGTTAATGCTCTCAATTTCAAAGTAAAATATCTAGTGTAGCCAGAAGATGACTGGGGGAAGGCAATTTACTTTAATCCAAATATTTAGCTATATATATATATATATATCCAAATATTCTTAGCCTTTCTACATTTTGACTCCCCTCCATTAGAAATAAGATTGCTTTCATATTTTTCTCAATATCATCTAGCCATGACCATGGAAACCCAAGAATAACTTCTTAACAAACACTATACTTGTTGGCCTTTTCTGGCAATCTGTGGTACCTATGATCAGGTTACCACAGCAGAAATCTCCATTGTGCTTTCATTCATCTCTCAGTCATTCCTTACATTCCCCCATCCATCCCATAAACATATATATATATGTACACACACCCACATGTATTATATGTGCATGTGCATACCCATACGCACACACACACTCACAGTTACCTGATTGGAATGAGTAACAATCAGAGTCCTCTGCTCTGGGAAATTGTGGTATATGTTGGATATGATTTGGACTGCCACATCTGTTTTTCCAGTACCTGGCGGGCCCACAACCTACAAAGGAGATGAACACATAGCAAACTAAGTTATCATATTGTTAGAAATGTAAATTCTAAAACTGAAAGATAAAAATAAATGAAAAAAAAATCCACTGGGTAAGTCCAAAGCAGAATGGACAGGACAGAGTCAGATAACCTGAAGGCAGAGCAACAGAAATTACCCAACCTGAACAACAAGCAGAATGAAATAATAGAGGGGGCGGGGGGAAGGCAGAATCTCAGGAATCTATAGGGCAATACTAAAGGGTCTAGTATTCATGTCACTGAAATTTTAGAAAAAGAGAAAGTGTACAGTATGAAAAAGAAGGTGAAGAAATAACAGCTGGAAATTTCCCAAATCTGGCAAAGGACATAAATCTACAGAGTCAAAAGTTCAGCAAACCCCAAAGAGAATAATCCCAAAGAAATTTAAACCCAGAGATATCACAATTATATGGCTGAAAACTAAAAATAAGGAAAAAAACCTTAACAGCAACCAGAGAAAAATGATACATTATGTACAGTAAAAAAATGTTTCCAGTAACTATGGAGTACTCTCAGAAGCCATGGAAGCCAGAAGAAATAGAATAACATTTTAAAAATGCTAAAAGGAAAGAACCACTAACCTAGAATTCTATGTCCAGTGAAAGTATCTTTAAAGAATGAAAGTGCATCAGAGACATTCTCACATGAAGGAAAACAAAGATAATTCATTGTTAGCAGACCTGTGTGTAAGAGTGGTACAGCAGTTCTTCAGACAGAAGGGAAATGATACCAGAGGGAACTGGACATATCAGGAATGAAGGATTAGTGGTAAATACAATAGACATTCCCCTCTGGAGTTCTTTAAAATATGTTTGATGTTTGTAAGCAGAAGTTCTAACAGTGCCTCATGGCATTTTCAATGTATTGGGATATAGTACACAGAACAACTACAGTATAAGTGGGGAAGGTAAAAGTACCTACATGGAGGCAGGCATCCTCTACTCAACTTAAGAGACACAGTACTAATTCTAAGTAGACTGTGAAAAGTACATATATTCTAATTCTCTAGAGCAGCCACAAAGAAAAAACTATACAAGAGATACAATAAAATAATACAATAGACAAATAAAAATCGAACACTAGAACTTTCCACATAACCCAAAAGGTAGAAAAAGGGAAACAGGAACACAAAGCAAAGGGAACAAGCAAAAATTAAGTAATAAAATTGCAGACTTAAATCCAAACATACCAATAATTACATTTAATGCTAAACACACCAATTAAAAAGAGAGAGACTATCAGAATGGATAAAAAACATGACCTACTATAACTATATGCTGTCTACAAGAAACTCAGTTCAAATATAATAGGTAGATTAGAAGTAAAATAATGAGAAAAGATACATCATGTAAAAACTATTCAAAAGAAAGCTGTAATGACTATATTCACATAAAAGTAAATCTCAGAGAAAAGAAAGTTACCAGCAATGAAGAGAAATATTACATAATGATAAAAGCATCAATTCACCACGAACACATAACAACCCTGAGTGTGTATGTACCTACCCATAAAGCTTTAAAAAACACAAAGCAAAATCTGACAGAACTGAAAGGAGAAACAGACAAATATGTAATTATAATAGGAAACCTCAATACTCCTCTCTTAGTAATCAACAAAAATACTAGGTGGAATATTGGCAAGGATACAGAAGTACTGAAACAAATGGATCTAAGTGACTTAATACAAGTGACTCCACCCCAAAGCAACAGAATGCACATTCTTTTCAAGCACACATGGAATAGTCACCACGACAGATAATATCCTGAGCCATAAAACAAACCTTAACAGAAAAGTGAAATCATACGAAGTATGTTCCTCTGACCATAATAGACTCAGACCAGAAATTAGTAACTGGTAGCTAACAGGAAAATCTCCAAATACTTAGAAATTAAACACATTTCTAAATCAGTTGTCAGCAGACTTTTTCTATAAAGGGCCACCAAGTAAACATTTTAGGCCATACAATCTCTGCTGCAAGTATTCAAACTGTGCTGCTATAGCCCAAAAGTGGCCATAGGCAATACATAAACAAATGAGCATAGTTATGTTCTAATAAAACTTTATTTATGAATATTGAAGTGAGCAAGATCTCCATATGCACACTATGCCACAGTTACTTATAAACACTTAAGTTCAGTTTGATTTTTGTGCTTCAAATACACTCGAAGCATCTGAGGCTTACTTCCAGCCTGAATCCACATAAGAACATGTATAACAATAATTCTCTTACCATAGTTAGCCCGGGCTGCATCCCAGCTCGGATGGCCTCTATCTGTGTATGAGTGAACTGAATTGTATTACTGCAAATAAGAGTGGATAAAAAGTTGGTTAGAAATACAGATGAATGACATTTAGTAAAAATTTAGAGAAGACCAGAGATCTGAACAGCTGCTCTGTGTTTGCCCATTCTCCCAATCTCTTCTTTCCCCAACCCAGCCCTGTGTGTGTGTGCTAAAAAAAACAGAATCACGTGATCTGCCCTCTTAACAGATTTTAAGTATACAATAGAGCACTGCTAACTACAAGCACAATGCTGAATAATGGATCTCTAGAACTTTTATACCTTACATGAGTGAACCAATCTCTTCTGAATGACTTCCTTCATCCCCACATCTCCACAGACCAACCACAACTGAATGAATTTTGTGAAAAGACAGAAGTTATTTTTCAATATACATAGCCCACTCTATACCTTATTTTGTGTGTCAAAGTTCTAGTTCCCAGTCTAACACCAAGTATAATGCCACTTTCTTAGTCATGGCACATATACATGAGAGCAGCTGCTACATGTAACACATGTCATGAAGAATCTTGAACTCAAATTAAGGTAGCCTCCTCATATTTAGTTTTCATAGTACCTGCAAATGTTTCTTTTTGAAATATGGCTACAGAATGACCAAAAATATCTGTGCTATTCAGCAGACTGACAGAATAGGACAGAGGGGAAGTTTCCCAGGATTTTTAAAGAATCAGAATATTTGAAAATATTAAAATCCATTTGAAATTAGCAAACTATTTTTCATTACTACAGCTAGCATAGATAGTAAAATTACCGTTTGGGTTGATTGTAAGGATAAGGACCCCTATTCGGAATAACATGAGGTTCAACAATTAAGGTTTTTGCCTCTTCAGTGTCTTCATCTTCCCTGTCTGCATCTTTCCTTTTCTTCCCCTTTCCACTTCTTACTGGAAAAGTTATCCTACAAGACCAAATTCTTTATTCATATTTATGATTAACAACAATTTACCAAGCATCTGTCTTGTGCATGACATTGCACAGAGAATAATCAGATAAGTAAGACACATTCATGGCTTAAGGGAATTTACTTTTCATACATAACTTCTGATAAAATCAGATTTAGAAACACTAAAATGTGTTAAGGATGTTTAGATTAGAAGAAGTCCTCTGATTCAGAGTGAAGAGTGAATTAGAGAAGAAACATTTATGGACTTTTGGCCACGCACTATACACACTGTCCTTCATTTAATCAGAAAAGGCTTCACTGGAGAGGTAGCATCTAAGATGACTTTCAAAGAATTTAGGTACAAAAACATGGGAGGGAAGAGGCTCAAGTCCAAGTAGCCAGTTTTACTGATGTGCAGAACACAACAGAGAAAGTACAATTAGAGAGACAGGCTGGAGCCCTGTGATGACACACCCTTAGTATCAGGCCTTTAAGACAGAAGTTCTTAGCCTGGGGTCAGGGTCACCTCAGGTGAGTCCTTGTATGTACCTAGAGAAATTAATGAACACTCTAAAATTAAATAAAAACATTAATTCTTCATGTGCACTTTTCTCATATGATGGCATTCAGGGAAGAACAATCAGTTGCTCCAGGCACTTTGTTCTATTTCTACTCAAATTTTAAAAACAAAGCTCCTTTAACATTAACTCTAACTACACTGTGAATATTTAAATTCTGCAAAGGCAAGCAAGATTAAAAGAGAAATAGAATTTTTTCCTAAATACAAAAGAAAGTCAATACCTCAAGGCTATGTGCATTAATTAGGAAATACAACAGACTACACATTATATACAAAGACATATTTTTTTAGTCAACTGTTATAAATGTTTATGTAATATCCTTCAGAAAACAAGCATTTACTGATCCCTTTTAGACATGAAGCGACTTTTATTGTGGTCTTAAAATAACATCTGCACTAAGAATTAGAAATAGAGTCAAAAAAACTTTATCCCTGTGATTACACAGTGAAGGTAAAGACTGCCCAAGCAAATCTAGACATGATACTCAAAACTTAACTTGAGAGGCTTGATGGCCTATCTCAGACTGATTACAGAAAGCTTGAAAGGAATATATCCAGTTTTGACTTTACCTGAAAGGGGGTATCTGTAGTGCTGGGTCATCCACAGTTACTTTAACATTATGACCAGGAAAGCTGACTTTTAAATGCTCAATGGAAAGAAATGTATCGTTGAAATCAAGAGTGGCGATCTGATTGGGCATTTTTGAATAATGTGCACTACTTGGATCCCCGTAACCTAAAATGATGTCATGAAGCCAGTCAGGTACCACACAATCAGTATTCATCAGGTTCCGAATAGTCTCCAGCACAGCCTGTCAGTGAGAGGACAGAAAAGGATTGTGTCAAGAAGACATCTCAAACATCTGTACTTCAGCGGAACGTAGAGCTGGTTACACTAATCCAGAATTCCAGAGTGTTTCAGGGCAGGAAGCTATTTTCTGCTGACAGGTGCTTGGCTAGACTGAATCAACAGCTATATTTTCAGCTGATACCATACACTGAGTTAAACAAAAGACCAAACTTAGCAAGGACAGTTTATCCACTAGGAGTTCATTTAGACAGAATATCATAAATGAGTTTACCACTTCACTCCTGTTGGACAGGATGAAAATCCAATCTGGTCTACTCAACAGAAAGAAAACATTACAGGACAAAACCTAATGCTTCCTCTTAGAAACTCCCATAGTTTTCTCCTTTTTATATTCCATAGTTTCTCTCTGCTAAAGATCGCACATAACTAGAGGCACATTAATAATGTATGCCTCAATTTTGAACAATATTACAATTTAAAAATACTAAAATTAAAATTGTTACAAAAAAGAAATGAAAAACAAAGTGGTTAGAAATAAAGAAAAAAATATACAACATGATAAAAATGAAATGCCAAATAAAATTTTAGAATGAAAGAATCAAGACTACAATAGAAAGTCATTAATAGTAGTTAACACATACATTGTCAAAAGTAATTACCAAAAGTCAAGGCAAGTTCTTAGGCTTCCTATAATTATTTCAACAGTGTGATCTATCCCACATATAAAATCAGAAGCCTAGGCTAGGAATTTCAAAGAATGAAATAACCAAACTAGCCATTCTTACATCATAAATGCTATACATCAGGATAGCAAAATAACAGGATAGTGTATGGTAATCGTACTGTAAACACAGTTTTACCTTCTTGGTACCTGAAATTTTCTTACTCAAGTACTTGATTACCTGTTTATCATCTGTGTAAATTACCACTAGAATACCATTTCCATGAAAGCAGGAATCAAGGCAGTTTGAATATGGGTAAATGATGGATGGACAGATATACAAGCATGTTCACATAATGATGGGTAAGATGAGGGCTCTTCTCTTTAAGGAAATTAAAACTTTAATAGGAAGATAAAACATGTCCTTAATGATGCAAAGCAGCAAAATGTGACAAACAGTAAAGAGTATCACAAAATACAATGGGAACACGGTTTGAAGTAGGAGAGAGAGGCATGTATGCAAGACTTTTGACATTAGGAAAAAAGACAGAGGCTAGTCCACCTATTCAGACAAGTAAAATATCCAGATGAGGAGAGGCTGTACAAACTAGAAAAGAGAGAAAAAAAGAAATGGGGGATGTTGCCCGGGCATATAACGAAACACCAAAGATACCAAAAGAGCACTCTTCTGTTCCCAAAGACTCGTTAATCATTCTCTGCTTTCTTGGGTCAGAACCTGAATGCCTCTTTGGGTCTCCCGTGACTTCATTCGCATCCTTCTTAGGACTTCTGGCACCTTCTAACATTTTATGGTAGCTTGTATTTCCAACTTCCCTTATGAGTAGTTTAAGCTCCCTCAAGGCATAATCTGTGTCATATTCATCTTCATTAGCTCCATGTAATTTAGTAAAGTACCAGACACACAGTTGGCATTAAATAAAATGGTCAAAGGAATGAAGATAAGAAAAGAACTTT